TCTCAGATCTCTGATGACTATTTTACATAAATATTGTTGTAAAATGTAATAGGATGTGCCAGGGTTCCCCCTAGACTCCAATATCTGAGAGTCACCTTGACTCAGCCTATGAATTTTGGGGAGTCAAAAATATTTTTTGAGAGTCAAATGTTTTATTGTATTATTAATGAAAAACTAGACGTAAATTTTAAGATGTTTGCATATATTGTCTTCAGATAATGTTTATAAATTAAGTTCATGTGAGTAATTGTAATATTTTCATTCCAAAGCTGGTAAACAACATAGATATTTTGAAAGTGCATCAGTCATGACGCAGTCATTTATTTCTGGACGTATTTTTCCTTAGTTGAGAGTCATATACGCAAGAATTCTGCGTCAGGGGAAACCCTGATGTGCACATAATCCTGAAGTCCCCACAGTTCGATGACATCATGCCCAAGAAAGGATGAAAAATTACATATAACCCAGGGACTGTTGATGTTTTTTTGGTTTGTTTGTTGTTTAATGCCGCACTCAACAATATTCCAGCTATATGAGGGCGGTCTAAAATAATCGAGTCTGGACCAGACAATCCAGTGATTAATGTCATGAGCATCGAACCACGCAATTGGGATCGATGACATGCATCAACCAAGTCAGTGAGCCTGACCAAAAAGCTTCGAGGTATTCACAGTGTTCTAATACCGTTGTTGTGTGGAAAAGGGTTACTCGACACAAAATTAATTTTTCTTAACGTGGACTTCGTGCATGTAGAAATATATATTAAGTTGCACTTTTCAATAAAAGGTTGCACTGGTGCATGTTTTATATAGCTCAATCGAGCCCTGATTACAATCCCCAAAATTTTTTGCTGTTGAGTAAAGTTGGATAGGTTAGCAGGCTGTGACAATTTGTGGCATTGCAAATATTGCTCTAAAGCGTTAGAAATTGGCACTAGTCCTGTAGTCCTTTCCTAACTACCCAATAGTTAAGGTACCATAAGGACTAGTAGCAATTTGCCATTTTTAATTTTTAAGGGTTTTGCTATATGTTATCATTATATGGACTAGTGGACTGAAAATGTTAGTTTCTACCGCTGCTCTAGTCAGAAACTATGTACACTGTTGCTACAGAACTGCAATAGATGCATCACTCATGTTATAACAGTAGTACTATACTCACAGAGCACTTTTGCCACAGATGGTATGAGGACATTTCCTAGTATCCACTTTCATAGAGCACTTAATCTGTCATTACCAAATGTGACAAGAAATATCTTTCTTGTAACTAAACCAATCTGAAGCCCTGAAACACCAATCTTTAAACAGCATGTCACAGCCAAACATGTCAGATATTCTGTCGGTTTCTTTGATTTGTTTGTTGTTAAACCCACACTCGGCAATATTCCGGCTATTCAATAACATACTGTATGTAATCAAGCCTGGATCAGAAATATACAGTGTTTGTTTGCTTTTTAGCGCCGCACTCAGTAAATAATTAAGTCTACACCAGACAATCCAGTGATTGACATCATGAGCATCGATCCACGCAATTGGGACTCAATGACATGCATCAACCAAGGATCCTGTTAGTTGCCTCTTACAACAAGCATTGTCGCCTTTTTCGGCAAGCATGGGTTGCTGAAGACCTATTCTACATGGATCTTCATGAATGAGCATACCCAGTGATTGATATTTATGAGCATCAATCCAGCATCGTCCGATAAATTGGCACGCAATCAACCAAGTCAACGAGACTCAGTGACCACCCAATCCACGAAGTCACCTCTACTTCAAACCTGGAATCGCCACATGGGATTCCTCAAAGATTATTACGACTTCAGGGATTCAGCTATGATTATGGTGTGAATTTCAAGGTATATCTTGGCACATATTTTTTGAGAGCTCTGATAATGTGGTCTTTTGTTTTTGTTAGTTCAAGACCCAAAATGAGTGATGATGGTTGTATGCTGCTCAAAGCCATATCCAAGCAATATCCTCGTAGTTGACACTGATAACCGACTTCACACCTTGTTTCCTAGGTGAGATGGGGTTTAACGTCGCATGAGTGCGCTCCTGTACTCTACTGATGCCGATTTATAGTGCTGAGATATCATGCCACTGTTTAACGTAAATACCTCACTCAGGCACTGTATACCGACTCTGTGCCGACCAGTCCTCGCTTTGGCCTCTTAATGCCAAACGTAGGGTAACAACAAGTACCATCTTTTAATGTCTTTAGATATAATGCGGTATGATACTCTACCACGAGACCACGGAGATGGGTCAGTCTTTCCTACGACTTGGACAATCAAATGTGTGATCCAATATGTATCATGAAACCTGGATCACGATAATTGCATGTGCTCTTATCTTTTTCATAGACACGATGGCCAATTTACAGTGTCAAGTATGGTGCAATGGATGAAAACACTCATGTTTACAGTACTTATTTTCACTAGTAATTAGTGTTTGGTGTAACATGTATCAAAGAATACATTTAAGGTAAGAATTGATACTTTTTAAGGGTGCGACTGATCGATACTTGTATTGAGAAGTAAAAAAAATTGTGATCCACTGATGTTTTGTCCCACTACCATGACTACTAGTGTTTCCATGTGTACAATCGAACCATCCCTGACGCAAGTCCCTCTAGCTCGTGAGTGAGACGAGTTTATCACTGATTTTAACAGTATTTCAGTTACATCACGGCATGTCAACTTAATGTGGGAGGAAAGCCTGAAGTGATGCAGGTCTGAGACGTTTACCACTTTGGTGAAACCAACAAACGTTGATATTGTGCCCTTCAAAGATATTTAACTTCTATATTACAATTTCATATAATGTTTATGTCTGTGTTGTTCAATTAACCAATGATGATTCCCCCCAAAAGGATACCTTGTTTGGAATATCTGTAAGTATTTTAAATATATAATTAAGGGCCTTTCTCATAATCATAATGTTTAAAATTAAATATTTAGTGAGTCCATGATCGTGGTCACTGCTTAGGTATATTTCACCATATTTTTTAATGCTAATTATTAAACAAAAAGTTTGTGAAGTAAGTTTGGTTGATGTAAAAGTTTGCAGCTTTAGTTTTGGAATATAAAGCCCCTCTAAATCTTAAACATTCAAACATTTGTAATGATAATGACCTTGACATTCATGCTTGATACATAATACAAATCTGTGATGATCAAGCTGCAGCGATTGTATTTCAATACAGATGTTTCGGTACATGTCACATGAACAATTCTCATAAACAGCATGGAAAACACTTCCAGCAGATTGTAGCATACGCTGCACTTGCAGAATCTGGACTCTGCCACGTGAGGCATTATAATCGTCAGTGTAGGCTTTCGTTCATTGGAGCAAGAAGTACTTTACTTGTCTTTGTTGTTGACCAATATTCGTTCTCCCTTTACATATAACATGGACCAATATTTGTGGTCCTTATCATGCTTCTAATTATAAAATGTGTACTTTCTCCTTTAGATAGTTTTTCATCCCTACATTTGTGGTATGTACCTAGCATAGGTAGTTTATTCCCTTGTATGTTTCTTTCCCCATCATTTTCAAAAGAGAATCATGACTTGTTCCCCATTATTTGTATAATTTCATGTGGAGGTAGAACAGAAGGTAGACACTTTATTGTCGTCTTTCACTGCATAACAACATATTTTCATAATATATCATTAGCTGGGTATCAATATTCTGCAACCTTTACAAATATACATATTTTGTTTCTACTAAATCATCAGGATGTAGAGTTTATGTTTCAACAAATGAAGTCAACGGGTAAACTATAACAAACAGTAGTAACAAAGTAATATTACTGACTGCAAAAAAGTCTCCCACTAGAACTGTTTGAAGTTCTGGGAGTTCATTGTTAACTAAAGTTGAAAGTCCAACATGAAGATACATTACTACAGCCCCAGAAATATTGGTAATTGCCATTTAAGTTCACTATACCATGTATATATCGTGATAACAAATGTCCCAATTTGGCTGGAGGAAGAAATACATATCTTCCGTAATTTTCTTGCCGTTAGCGGTGAGATGTTAACCTTTGCCAAAAATATTGGTGTTGTTTATATGAAATTTCTGAGATACAGATCATCTTCATGAAATATTCACTTCCACACTTCCTCACACGCAGGATTCAGAAACTTGTGATAACATGACGTAGTAATACAGTGTAATTCTGCAATTTTCATGGAAATCCTCAGAAGGATATTTTCAAAGGATCATACTTCTTGACACAAAATATTTTTCAGTTCTATTTCCTAGAAAAACATCAAAAGGACTGTAACATTTGCGTATACTATTTTCATTACAATACTTGTTCATGTTGTTTCAATCAAAAGAAGGATAATGATGTTCACTCAGACTTGCATTTCTAAACTCAAGGTTAAATAATTAATATATTTACTTATTTAAGTTATATTTTGTTCACAATATCTTGTTAGACGTCAAGCATGACTCTCTAAATTGGGTTGACTCTAAAATGTCATGATGACTCCCAGTCAACCTTCAAAGCAACAATCTGTCAAGTATTCTTGCTCATTGCAGTATGTACCATCCCAAATATGCAACATAGGTAAACGGTAACACTTTCAATGTTTTTAAATTAGTCTAGATATCAATTTACACTATCACTGCCTCGTTTTCGGTTACACTGCAACGTGAGTATAGGGTAAGATCTGATTTACAGTGTCGTGTTTGTTAGGCTAACAGATATGATCACATTAACACGACCTGGCGGCAAATATTAGGTCATATTATATTGCTTTCTTATCCATAACAAGGAACAAGAGGGAGGTCGTTGATTAGGTTTCAACAGATGATCACGTAAGACGAATTTGTTGGGCGTGTCTGATCACGAGTGCTAATCGATAAAGTTAAATTGCACCAGGCACACACTGATCAAGTTTTAATTGCATTGGTTAATCCAAGCATACCTGTGGTGTGTCTCGTTCTCCAAAGCGGAAGGGGTGAAAATATGCGGGTCTGTTTACTCACCAGAACGACATTTCGCGTCCGAAGGAAACGATATATCTGTGTTGGTTCTGAAAGGAAAGAAAATGTACTCTTAGACGAGTTTTAGGATTGAATCGGTGTTATTATCTGTCGTCTGACCTCTTTATTGGATACAATCATCAAAAATAATCGTTCGGAATTCGATCAATGATTGTCGCTACGCAATGTCGGGGGGAAGTTTACAACACACACACACTGCTATGCTGAGCTTACGTTGGGTTGTTTGAATCGACCCGACGTGGGGCTCGCGCTTCGGCCATGTGCTTGTACTTACTTTCAAATGCCTGAAGAAAGAGCTCGTGGTCTGCTTGAGGTGTTTCGTATAGGGGTTCCTGCGGTGCCTTCTTCTCCCTCTCCCGTTTCTTAGGCCGCATCTCTCCCCAAAATGCCGACCTTCCAGCCGACTCCAATTCCGCGGGAACCACCGTACACAAAGCACATTGGAGCGAGGCAGGCTGGGTAACTCTTTAAACCAGAGGTACACAAGGCGATACTAATCCATAAAACAGTCAGCGCGCGACAGCAACACGCACCTGTCGCAGTGTCGGCACACCGGTTATTGACTGAAACCTGTAGATAGAATATATCATGCTCAAGTCGAACTGGGATAGGAGTATTCAAAATAATTTATAACCACCATTCTGTCGAACAACACGTTTGACTGCACGGATGACTGGCGGTACCACGGTCAATTCAATATCATTCGAAAATGTAGCGTTTGTTATATATACATATATAGATCTACTCATGACAAAAAAATACAAACAGGAGTGGATGGAAGACACCTACCGTTGAAGAAGCTAATATAAAAAAATGTGTAGGCTGAGAGAAAGTAAGCATGTTTAATGATATAGAAAACAAACGAGACAAAGCGGGATTGGCCATGAAGTTGTTTACGTGCAGATGGAGAGACGACATAGCTTTTACCAGCGGAAACAAAACAACAACAGTAAAAGATGTCGAAGTACATGGGTGATGCCTTTCAATCACATTTGAAAAAATAAATTTCATATGAAACAATCAACCAAATGCAACCTTTTTAATATCTCAATATAAAGTTTAATTCGGAATTATGATCGAGTTTCAATTATTATAGGAACCTCTTACGGGATATAGTCGATATTAATTTATTTACGACATACGTTATCCTTTTGTTCTATATTCTTAATTTCAGCTGTATGTACTTTAATATGCCGTGGGGATTACGGGTGAGAATTGGCCCCAAGCAACCTATATACTGGTCGCAAGAGACGATTAATGGATCGGGTGGTCATGCTCGGTGACTTGGTTGGTGACGTGTCATCGTGCCCAAACATCGTGGATCGTTGCTTATAATAATTATCACTGGATTACCTGGCCCAGACTCGATTATTGACAGACCGCCGTCATATAGCTGTAACACTGTCGAGTGCATCGTTAAACAACAAACACACACCCTATTATCGTAATCTCCAGTGGGCATTCTGGGTCAGATAAGGTCCCCAATACTCCTTTACACTTGCGAAGAGCTCACAGAAATTATAGTCGTATGGTCACAGTTAATGTGTGACCCGGCTGTCGAAGGTTGATGGCGTGGGTCGTTGGTGAAGCTATTATTTTTCATGCAACCACTGATGTATGTATGTCCCAAACTCGATTATCTACAGGCTGTAACTGGGTATAACTGGAACATTGCAGCGTAAAACAACATTCACTCACTATAACGCATTAATATTGAAAAGGATATGTGTGTAAGAGTGAGTGAGTTGTGTTTAACGCCGATTTTAACAGTATTACAGTTATATCATGGCGTGTCAGCTTAATGTGGGAGGAAAGCCCGAAGTTATGCAGGTGTCTGACGTTTATCACTTCGGTGAAACCCATGAGCAAGGGCTGACAAACCTAGAAACATAATCGGGTCGAACCGGGATTCGAACCCACAATCATAGGTTTCTGGCGTGCCCAAGGGACGTAACTCTGCACAGCGAATCGCGGCGCCTTAGGCGACTGGGCCACCCGTGTGAAAATGTGAAAGAACAATTTGACGCTGTGACGTCAATTCATACTACCTTGGATAATCGAGGATGGGCGTTATTATGAACGCTTCGTCAGGAAGTCACAGGGGCTGTCGGTAGCCTAGTGGTTATAAAGCATTTCTTGTGTCCCCAGCCGGGATATTGCTGGAATATTGCTAAAAGCGGCTTAAACCATACTCACTCACCCAGGAAGTTACACGTGGAATGAATAGGTATAGGTCCAAAGCAACCGATTTTTAAGGTTCATCGTTTTCATGAAGCGACAAAATGTATCGGGTGCTCAGACTCGGAGACATGACTGATCGCGCCTTGGCATACACCGATGCCATGGTTCGTTGCTCATAACACCAATCATTGTTTTGTCTGACCCAGAGGCTGTTGACATGCTCCCTTTGCGACTTTTCATTCTGTAGCAAGATCAAACAGTCAATGCTTCGAATTATACTGGATAATGCCTCGAAGCATGTCAATTCTTGATATTTTGGGGATAATTGTTAACACTGGATTATCTGGATGAAGGCCTCTTGCATTTAAAAAAAGCTTTGTAATGTGACTAATTGATTTTGTTTTAACACCGAATGTTTTTTTTGCCTATGAGTTATACATTATGTATAAGTAAGTTGACTGTTTATTACGAGTGGTTTCATACTGTCTGATTCTAGTTCACCAATTCTTCCTCAGAATCAACCCCAATACTTATGGTGATATTTGTATCAAACGCATGGCAGATCTGTGATTGTTAAAAATATATACATCAGCTGCGTTTTTATTTATTAAATCTCCGTAGGGGTTCCGGGTTAGGATTGGTCCCCAGCAACCTACGTTGGTCCATCTTCCCGAGGCAGGGGTGTTAACTGACTAAAAGTCCAGTTAACACCCATGCCGAACTGGGCTGGAATTTCGGGGCTGGATTGTATCGCCACCAGTGGCTATTACGAGTTGTGTCCCTACGATGTTCCTCCTATTGAGCAATCGGATTCCACCTCTCACATCACTTGTATTTGCTGCAAACAAAATGGCTGCGCCCCGTCAAGACGATCTGAACGATAATCAAGATCTATATTGTAATTAAAAGGATCTTACTTCATCAAATTACACGAGCATCTTTATTTAAAAACACGAAAACATTTGGAAAATATCAGTTGACGATAAGTTGACGGTACACATGCTTTGCAAATCCTGCAATCGCCCGAAATCTGCGCGGCAGTTTACGAAGAGAATGTGGATTTCGTTGCTCGATTTTGATTGGGCTATGCATGGACTCGTTAGTCCAGCCAAAGTATAACTCCATAATTCCAGCCTAGTTCGGCAAGGGTGGAAACTGGACTTTTAAAGTCAGTTAACTTCCCTGCCTCTGAAAGATGTAGCTCTTTTCGTCAACACTGTCAGGTTATATGTCAGCATGGACATGTTTAACGATCAGATTCCGACTGACATCGATAACGTAATTGTAGCCCGCGGATACTTCGAGTCAGTGTTTACATGGCATTAGCATTGTCGTCATATCAAAGACGATTCAGTGAAGGCCTATTGTAGATAATGGCAGAATGTCATGTTATTGTGATGTTGCTGATCGAAAGACTTCGTGTTTTTTTGTTGTTGCTTAATGTCGCACTCAGCGATATTCCAGCTATGTGACGGCGGCTTGTAAATAATCAAATCTGGACCAGACAATCTAATGATTGATCTTCACGAACAAGTAACTATGTTACGCACTGGAAGAGAAGAACATTTTCTTCACGTTTCATCTGTTTGAACTCCTACATGTATGCACGTGCAAATGCATATACCTGGGTACGTGCAACTTCTATTGTAAGACGTACAAGCGGTTCACGGATATAGTTTTATCACGTAATGGGTAGGTTTCTCGGTAGGATAAAGCCAACGGGGTCATATACGGATAGAGATGCAAATATTAAAGGTCAATTTTTTTAAAGCAGGGACTACTTTCAGTGTTTACAAACAAACATGGCGTCGCCCTTGTCACTCGGGAACCTGGGGAAACTACTGGGATAATTGCTATCATTATCAATAGAATAGTCTAATATACTGAAAATCAGTGTCTAACTGTGAATTAGCTAAGGCATTTTACAGGTTTTGGTAACTTTGGAGATATAAATTGCGAAACAATTTAGGAAGGAGCTAAGGACAATATAGAGCCAAGCGGGATCAGTTTCCATACCCGTGCTTGTATACCTCTGCGGTTTAGAACCCTTTACCCAAATTAAAACAGTTGGATTTGGCCGAAGTATATCCGAATTGTTACCTTGTTTCGTTTTGTCGCTGTGTGTACATCTAACTGCACTTCTTACACGTTAGGACAGTACAGGCATACGAAGTCAACAAACGTGACGTCTCATAGACTAGGGTTAGAGTAACTTCCCTTTGATAAAGGGCAGTTACTCTAGCGGACAGACAGATGGCAAGTAGAACAATTGGTGTAGGCAATTATGGTTTTTGCTTATATGGAGTTACACCACTGTCTAAGAAACAGATTCCAGTTGGAACTATATTTTGACAGTTGTTATTGACCGACTGACACATCATTAACCTTCTGACGTAATACATATTAATGCGCACACCACAGTAAAACTTGCAATGTTTAGGTAATGTCAGTGAGAGATGGAAGAGATGTTTCGAGCAAAGAACTGAAGAATAACATCATATGATAAAGAGGTTATCACGCTTGTTTGTTTGGGGATGGTAAATATCCTGTATTAGGAATAAACACTATGTATTTAGCTCGACAAGGCTAGCTAAATACAATTTTTATTCCTAATACAGGATATTTACAAACCATATAGCTGGCATATTGCTCAGAGCGGCGTTAAACAACAAAAAACAAACGCACAACAAACTTTACTTGCGACCTATCTTCTTGCCAAGTATCAACATGAGACCTATCTGAAAACATCGATTTTTCTGCCTGTTACCAACCCTGTTTCCTGTAATCAAGAATGGAGTACGTGCCTCATACAATACATTAAGCGTCGACAAATTTGCGACATTCGTGAATGAACTGACTTGTGTAATAGGGTCTGTTGTGTATTGCTGCTGCTATGATTGTAAACCTAATCTTGTGTGTTTCAATAGAACTTGTTGATTGCTCATTGATCTTGATTGGTTATTTAGCGGTTTCACAGTTTTGTTCTGTATGTATGTACCGATATCTAGGCTGATGTTTGTCCAGATACTCATATGGGTGGTCATCTCGGTGTTGGGATAAGATATATGCTTTTTTCTTCTGGTCATCTCAGGATGTGTCACAGAACGTTTCGTAATACTTATCATGCATGTAAGGTGGTAGGCAAGTTTAACCAGAAAATCCTTCCTGCTCATTTGAAGAACCACTGATTAGAGTCAGTACTGACTGACTTGACCCGTTGCTCAAAACAAAGTCTGGCATACCCAACATTGCTCAGTGTAACCATGGGTCGAAATTTATGTCA